TGAACTTGCTGAACACCGTTATTTTGATTGGATTGGTGTACACTCATTAATTGGATGATGTTGACGCTTGAATCATGGTACGTAAAGCACTTGAAATTTCTCTGATTTCAGATCTAATGTTATTGACAAAGGTTTCAACTAAAACAATGCGATTAAAGTCATTCATTTGAGAGTTAGATAAGTTGTTAGAAACTGTGTTAGATACAGATTCATTTTGGTCTTGATTAGTAACAAAAGGATTATTTGGCACACATACTATTTCCTCATCACCGTTGTGAAGGGGAAATTCATATGTAGGATCATCAATTTGATCAGAATCATGTGCAATATAGTGCATAAATTCGAAATGATTGAGATGAAAATCAATGTCTGTTTGGTTTTAGTCTTACTTAATGGCTGCATTTTTAAGGGAAACTATCTCATCATCTATTGATATAAGTTGTTTTCAATAACATCTAGTTTTTCTTAGAAAACTTTAAGGGCGTCAACCATATTTGGAGGAATATTGCTTGCCTTTTCTTAGGAGGGAATAGGTTTTTTGGGTCAGTAAGTGTTTGAGAGTATGATTTAGACAGGCCACCGTTGTTATTGTTGAATGACCTTAGAGGACAGTATTGTTCTGGTTTGAAATGATATAAGGGACAATAAGGATTAGTAGGTTTGCGATTAATACAATCTTTGAATTCGTGATCAGGGGGCATCACAACTTCTACAATATTTTTTGAAGGTACTATCCTGTATAAGATTTTTCCTTTGAATTTCTGAGATTGTGAAGCAGCTACTGTGACATCTTCAGCATTAATGAAATTTATAAAGGCATATAGTCTAAGTCTATATTGTTGGTCATGTAGGATGAAACAGGATTTGGCATTGATGTGAAGTAAAAAGTCAATAAGTTATCATTGATCAATATTAAAAGGTAATCCAGTAAGTTTAAGTTCAAACTATTGTCTTAATGCCGTTTGTGTGAAGTTGAGATCTGTTGGTTCTACTCTAAGTAGAAATTCTAAAAAAGTAACAGACCAAACATAATCATAAAAAGCTTTAATGGATTCAGGTTCTTCGAAAATAATGAAGGCGATCTGCCAGGGTCCACAAATGATTATTGAGAAATAGGAGATCTTTTCATATTTGGTAAAGTAATTTCTTACAACATCCGATTTGATAAACAAGAGAATATCAGATACTTTAATAGTTCAGCCTTTTTCGGCATCTTGTCTTTGTTATATTACCGCAGGATCAATAATAGTCAAAATAGGATTATGTTGTGTCTCTTGTGTCTTTGTAAGTGCATTTTTTAGGGAGTCCATCGTATCAAAGTAAATAAAGAAGTTTCTAATTTTGGAAATATAAGTCAAATCTTGGTATCCGTTGTAATGAATGAATAGGGAGTTGATGAACATGCTTTTTTCAGCAATTGAATTTCCTTTTATGTCTGAGGCATTATCCGTCACATAGAAACGCGTGGGTGCAGTGATAATGTTGAAAGAAATTTTTTGAATATCTTGATCACGTGTTTTATCTTCGTTTTCCATTTCTTCTGACCATGTATCTTCTTTTTGTTTACCTTTGTTGGTAATAACCTGGTTTGTAATTGAATGAAGGACATCATTATTGTTATTGTAGGAACTGGAACCAGAAGCGTATATAGAGTCATTAGTTGTATCTTTAGCGAAAAAAGAATAAGTTTCTTTATTATTTGTATCTGTAGAAGTTGAGTCAATATCCATGACTTCTGGAGTAGTATATTCAATTGTTTAGTCATTATTAGGGGGAATAAAGTCTTGTCCAGTAATAATATTGTTAATGGTTTGTTCTAAAGGAGTTTTATATTTTGGGAAAAATTGTCAGAAGAAAGTTTAATTTTTTTCAGTTGTTCAATCTGTTCAGTAAGTAAGGTTTGTTGGCTAGAGCTAGAAGAAGTGTTGTCGTTCGTGTTGTTATTGTTTCTTTGATTATTTGAAAGAGTTTGAGAGTTTTTATTAGTGTTTCTATTTGTCGTTTGTCTAGTTATTGGTATTTTTTGTTATTTTTGTAAAAAAGGGGAAAGAGTTTCTAAAATTAAAGATGTTTTTAATAATTGATTTATTTATTTTTTTTTTAAGATGCTGTGAAGCTTTTATTTATTAAAAATTCAGATTCAAATTATAAAATAAGAAGAAAATCCCAAAATGGATACAAAAGTAGAAAGAAATAAAGTAAAAGCTGCTTAGCCTTTCTCGAAGGGAGAACTAACTCCAATTAAATCAACTGATTGTCTCGTCACATTCAAATTCGACTATTTAGAAAAGAAAATCAGTACATGATAAATGAAAAGAAAAGACGTTTATGACAACTAGTTTTCACTGCATTAAAAAGAGACCAGGATCTGCTGTGAATAAATGAGTTAGAAAAAAGAGTTAAATGGTTCATATTGTTATTGATAATAGGTGTATTAGGCAAAGAAAAGAGTTTAGAACTGTTAAATGATTTACTATGCTTTTTTTTATTTGTGATATTAAAGGTGAGTTCTTTGGCAATAGTCAGAGCACATCTGGGTTTCCAAATGAGAAGGATCGCTTAATTAATAATAAGGTTATAGAAAGAAGATAAAATAGCAAGAGATTTTTTTTGGCATTTGGTGAAATCGTTGATAAGATAGTAGAAATGAGAAGGAACAATTCCTATTAGAAAGTCGATGAAATTAAAAGAGGAAGAGGGAGATGAAGACAAATCCCAGTATGAATGTAAGATGTCGAATATTGATTGTAATTCTAAAGGCTATTGTCGGCTAGAGGTATGAATATATAATTGATCTTTGAGAGTTTGAATACCCTTAATAATAATATTATTAACTATAAGACAAGCCTTAAGGCAGGTCCAGATATGATTGAAAGTTTCATTAGATGAATTATAGTGATAGCATTTCCAAGTAGCAGCATACGGATCAGGAGATGTAAGCTTAAGAAATTTGAGAGTAGGTAGTTGTTCGAATAGGAGTTGGTATTTTTGTTTGTGATAAAATGACTCTTTAAAAGAAGTTGTGTTGTTTGAGCTGTGATTGATAAGATTGAAAGTGCAGAGCCAATTAACTTGTTTGTTTTTAAAGTGATTATTTCTTTGAAGTTTGTAGTAATTTGTAAAGGATTTGAAATTGATATAGTCTTTGAAAAAGGGTCGAATTTCTTTGTTAATAGGATTATTTTGGAAGGTAAGAATGAAAGAAAGAAAGGAGACATAAGAGAAGGAGATAGAGATTGGAGGATCATGAAGAGCAGATTTAGCTAAAAGATCAACTTTTTCATTATAAGTATTGCCAAAATGTACTTTAACTTTTACCAAAAAAAATGTGATTTATTTTTGTTCGATGATTTGAATATGTAACACCAATATATATAAAAGGGAGTCTTAAAGAGTAAGGATAGATAGAAACAAATATTGTTTTGTGAAATTCTGTTATAGGCAAGAATCATGGATAAGCTATCAGTATAAATTTTAACAGTTGAACTAAAAGGGCAAACAAAAAGAGTCATAGGAAGAGCAAAAATTTCAGCATTAGTAGAGTTGGCCCAAAGAGAAGGCAAAACAGCAGCAAAACTAATATCTAGAGAATCATGTATTAAAACAAAAGCGAAACTAATAAAAGTACTTATAGGTGATAAAATGAATTGATGAGACCTATCAGTGTAAAATTCTAAAATTGATTCATTAAATAAAGAAACTCTATGGTTATTAAAGGTGGTAATATATTCGACAGAAGTAAAAAAACTTTCTATAGTTAGACTATCATTATCTAAATTTAAGTGGGCAGGTAGAACATTTGGAATGGAAATGAAATGAACCATTTTGAATCTAGCTACAGCTTGATCCATTAAAGGCCATAGAGATCTTTTATGAACATGTAGGTTTTTGGCATTGCTTTGAACCAGAGGGGAAGTAGCGATCGGGTTGAGAAGCAATGAATCAATGAAACGAGCACAAAGCAACTTTTAAATTTCGGTTTAATGTTGATCTTTTTTCTGGGTTTGTTAAAAGAGCAGCAGAATATGGAACTAAGACATCATTTCTTTTTGATGGAGAACGCAGATCATTTGTTGGGTTATTTAATGTGAAATGTTAGAAGAGACAAGGTGGAGCTGGAGATTCTAATTTAAACACCTTTCCAAAGATAGATGATCCAGGAATTGGAAATTTGTAAATGTTGTACTCAGGAGGAGTCCAGACATTAGCCATCCAGTATTCTATTTAAAGTTCTCGATTGAAATTGATGTTAAATAGTCGTCAAAAACTTGGGACTCGAAAGAAAATTCCGGTTTGAGATGATTTGAAAAAACAGGATTCATTAAAACTATCTTTTGTAATAATTTGAACCAACGTGAAGTGACACTATTGAAATTAGCTAAGGTGAAAGATCGAAGCTGAATGTCATGATAATTGAGAAGGAAACTGCCAGTAGCAACTACTTGAAAGAGAAACATGATGTTTTGTGATCTAATATTACTAATGTCATTAGTGTTTCAAGGCATGATTGTGTTGAGAGGAACTAAACCTCCTGAGATTCGAAAAAGAGCAATCATTTTTGAAGAATTAATAAAGGAAAAGTTAGAGTCGTGGTAGGTGATGATAAAGTTTGAAAAAAAATTTTTATGTCTATAATGTTTCTGTGACTTAGGCTAGCAGACCAAATGATTATCATGTAACCAAAATCTTTGTTGTAGCTGTTTGAGTCGAATAAGAACTGATAGGCTGAGGATCGTATTTTCAGGAGAAGAGTTAATAACATTAATAAATTGTTGAATTTTTGAAGTTTGAGAGACAGATGATAGATTGTTGAATCCATATGCCAGTTTATTATGTATGATCGAATTTGGTGTGCTACGTCTCAGTCCTAACTTGTTTTTAAGTAATTTCCTCATTGGTTTATATAAGAGGTCACATTTGATTTCAGAAAGAATAGTCAATTTCAATCTATATTCCAGACGAGGTATGAGAACCATGTTATTCAGATAACGCAATTGCTTATTGACGAGAGATTTAAAATGAAGCTTGTCTCTAAAAGAAGCAATTTCCAAGAAAATTTGGTTTTTTATGAAGGGTTTGTTATAATGAACTGAGATCCAAACACCTAAATAGCGAGTCAAGTCCATAGGTGAAATAGTTTGACATTCAAATGAAGTATTATTATAGGAACATCTGAATAAAATCGATTCAGTATTAGTGTGATCTGTGATCAAGTATGATTTATCAAAATTGACTTTTATAGAATTCAGCTCATAAAAGGTCTGAGCGATATTTAGTATACTAGTCATTTGGTCATAACTGTCAGCAATCCATATCGTGTCATCCATAAAAGCCAAAACAGGAATAGTAACATTAAGTGATTTTATTGCAGAGTTGTTGAGATCAGGGTTCCAAGTCATCGACATATTAAAACCAAGTCCAGACTTTTTTATTCTGTCAAAAAGAGGATCATAATATATTATCCAGAGTAGTGGTGAGATAACTTCACCTTGGTCAATACCAATGAGGATATTATAAGGATCAGTAAGACCGAACTCAGTGAAAATCTCATTGTTCTGGTTGAAAAAGAGTCCAATAATCAAATTGATCAGAGTATCTGAAAATTTTAGACGAGCTAGGGTTTTTTTTAACATGAAAATATTTACTTGATTATAAGCCTTTGACATGTCTTGAAATAGGATATGTAAATCTTGTTTATAAGAGAGATCAGTTTCTTTATTGAGGCGATGATACTTAAGGAGATTATTGATTATGTGAAGAGGTTTCAAAGTAGATTGATATAGAATACCTGCAAAATTTAAGCCTGACAAAGCATTAGTTTTAATTAGTACTTTTTGTAATCTAGCATTTAAGATCTTTGTGAATGCTTTTCAAACAGTTTCTAGAAGGGTAATCGGTCTGGTATTATTGAGATCACAATTCTATGGTTTTGGTTTTGGTATAGGATATACATAGGCCAGATTCCATTGTCGAGGAGTAAGACCTGATGTGAAGCAAGCACAAATAATTTTATACAAAAATTTATTAGCGAGTGGTCTCAATTTTTTTAGCAACTCATTGGAAATATTGGAAGGACTGAGAGCTTTGTCGTTAGGTAAATATTTAATGACAAGCAACCATTCATTGTAACTAGAAGCGTCGAGAACATGATCGTATTTGTCAACATTAATGGTTGATAGAGGTTGGTAGAACGATTCCCATTGAGGCAGGAATCAGAAAAATGAGACAAATTAGGATCAGTAACATCTAGGTTTTGGGCACCAGCAACTGTTTGAAAATGTTGAGCAGTTGGCTTCTTAACTAATGTTGGGTTAAATTCTAAATAAGGATCAGTATCAGGTTCATTGATCATAACTCTGTCAAGGATGATAGTTTTTCTTGATCTTTCGAGACAGGAATCAATCATTTTCAAAGGAGCATCTTTGTAATTATTGATTCATTGTAATATATGGGTCTTGATTCAGTCATTAGTTTCTTGTTTGAATACGATTTTCAATTTACATTCCAATAGTTTGATAATAGAAGCTTTTAAGTCTACGAAGTAAGCTTTAAGATCTTTTTGATAGTAGAAAGAGTCAATTAAAGCTGATGAGATCCTGTGTTTTTTAGCAATAGATAGAACATATTGATGTTCCTCATATTCTATATTTAAAGTGAAGGATAAAAACAAAGGGGCGACATCTTCTTTATTCATAAACCGTTTGGTTCTGTGATATAGTTTGTATACTTTTTTATCTGTTTGTAAACAGTGGAATTGTTGTAACTAAAAAAGGACTTATGTTATACAGTAGAAGTAGATTTGTTAATATGCTTGTTAGCAGCATATAGAACCGATTGTGTAAAGAATTCCCATGCTTGATTGAGAATCGATTGAGAGAAACTAAGAGTATGAATATCACAGTTATAAAATTTCTTTAATTCTTTGATTAACTTATCGAGTTTATCAAAAAAAAAATCCCAATGTAAAAATGCTGTTTTTTTAAAATTAAAGGAAGTTCATGTGGTTTTGTGTTGTTTTGACATACACTAGAAGAGTTGTTGAAAATATTATTTTTGTAGAGAGTTATGTGAAGAGGAAGGTGATCAGATTCATAAATTATGCTGGAGGAATCGAAAATTTTGAAAGAGGTGAAATCATGAGAAAGAGATGGAGAGGTGAAAATGTAATCAATGTGAGTGTAAGTTTTTCTTGAAGAGGTGAATGTATGAGGGAGTTATTTGGAATTGTCTGAGATTAACGAAGCAGCATGTACAAAATTTAAATTAGTTATTTTGTCAATAAAAGATCTACACATTCGATCTCTTTTTGAGTTGTTATATTTGTTCTGAATCTTATATAAATCAATATTGAAGTCGCCTATTAATATTATATGAAAAAATTTGGATTGCGCTTCAAGAATGATGTTAATAACTAAATTTTTGATCTTAATTCTAAGAGCTAGTTGATCTTGATCGTTGGTATTTACAGGAAGATAAATCTGGATAATCCTTAATTTGGTTTTGTTTTTGAATTGTAGATCAATATAAGCATTTCTATCGAATAAGAATTTTTGGAAAAAAATATGGTTATAAAGATAGGATCTAATAATAAAACCAACACCTTGGTAATTAGATTGGTGATTGTCAGATGAAAAAATAAACTTATACAGATTATTATGAAAGTTTTTAGACTGGTATAGGGCTTGTATAGCACTAAGATGGATTTTGCTTAAACCTAAAATATCTAAATTATAGGAAATGAAGAATTGTTCAATTTGAGTCATTTTTTCATCAGAAATGCAACTTTTAACGTTGTGGATAGCGATTGAAAAAAAATTTGGATCATTAAAATGAGAATAGAAACTGTCATTAGATAAAATTTTTTCATTAATGTTTAAATGGGCTTTTGGAACACCATTTGGGATTCTGCTTTGGTATACACTCATAAATTATCAGGAAAAAGAGTTTGGGTAAGAGTGTGTAAAACAGATGAAATTGAATGAATTTTGGATTTGATATCATTAACTGAAGATTCAACTGAGTCAATTCTTTGTAAATGGATTGTTTGAGGGTGAGGAATGTCAGACGAAGAGTTTGAGAAAGACAAAACTTCATTATTTTCAGCCTGAACGGCAGGAGTAACAGGAATTATTTTCATTTCTTCTTCACCGTTGTGAAGAGGAAATTCGTAATTCAGATCATTGATTTGTTTTAGGTCATGTTCAATATAGTACATATATTCGAGTCAATTCAAACGAAAGTTAATGTCCTTCTGGTTTTGTTCATGTTTGATGATAGAATTTTTTAAAGAGATTATTTCATCATCGATAAGAGTGAGTTTGTTTTCGATATGATCCAATTTTTCTTGAATGAATTTAAAAGTGTCAGTAGTATTTGGAGGAATTTTTTGAGGCAAAACATTATTGTTATTCTTATTATCGTTGGAAGGATTGTTATTGTGTGATCCATTTTTTTCGTTCTGTAATACTTGTAAGAAAGATCTATGAGAACCTGGATTGATAGATTGAAAGGATCTTGGCGTTCTATACTGCTCTGCTTGAAGTGATCATACAAAGGTTTGTAAGGATTGGCTGGTTTACGATTAGTACAATCCTTTAGTTCATAGTCAGGAGTACCACAAATTCTGCAATTATCCAGTAAAGGACTTTGCCTTGAATTTTTGGGATTGATTGGCAGTAGAGGTAAGATCATCATTGTTGGGAAATTTACAAAAGCATACGGTCGAAAGCAGTATTGCTGATCACGTGATATAAAACAAGATTTTGCTTTGATATGAATAAGAAAATCAATTAGTTGTCTCTGATCAGTATTATAAGGTAACCCAATAAGTTTTGGTTCAAACTGTTGTCTGAGAGCAACTTGAAAAGAGTTAAAGTCAGTCGGTTCAACTCTCAAAAAGTTTTCTAAAAAGGAAACAGACCACACTTGATCATAAAATTGTTTGATAGATTCAGATTTTCAAATACAATAAAGGTGATTTGTCAGGGTCTTCTGATAATCATAGAGAAATGAGAGATCTTTCCATATTTGGTAAAATAATTTCATACTACATTTGATTTGGTAAAAAGCGGAATGTCAGAGACTTTGATCGTCCTGCCTTTTTTGGCATCTTGTCATTGTTGTTTCACAGCGGGATCGATAATAGTAAAAATAGGATTATGCTGTATTTCCTGCGTTTTTGTGAGAGCATGTTTTAAGGAGTCCATCGATTCAAAATAAACAAAGAATTTTTTAAATTTGAAAATGTATGTTGAGCTTTGATACCTGTCGAAATAAATAAATAAGAAGTTAATAAAAGTGCGCTTTTCAGCCACAGATTTTTTCTTGATGTCAGAGGCATTATCAATTACGTAGAAATGCGTGGAAGCAGTGATTATATTGAAAGAGACATCTTTTAGTTCTTGGTCACGTGGTTTTTCTGTTTCTTCAACTTCATCAGACTATGATTGTCATTGTTTACCTTTGTTAGTTAGGGAAGGATGTAATCGAAACCAGTATCATCAAACATATTATTCTTGTTGAAGTTTGCGTGCATAGAAACGTTGGTGGTTAAATTCAGAGGTGGTGTAAGGATGGTGTAAACGATGGTATCTGAAGATGTATCAACTTCCATTTCATTATGTAGAACAAAATTTAGAGGAGACGTTTAAAGGTGGTGAAGTCATATTAGAAGGAGTATCGTCATTAAGGATGATGTTTTCAATAATGTTATGAATATTCATTTTTGTTTCTTGGTCGTTAGGTAGTGGGGTAGTTTTTTGTTTTTTCAAAGTAGAAACAGTTTCGTTATTTTCAAAAGTTTGAGGAATAGAACTGAAGGTTTTACTGTCATTAGAAGAGTTAGTTTGTTTATTTTTATTGTTAGTTTGTTGAGTTTTCTTTGCTAAAGTTGAACGGGTAACAGGCATTATTTTTATTATCGATCTTTTTCGTTTGTTTTTGAAAAGTTTGGGAAAGAGTTTTTAATAATTAATTTATTAAATAATATTACTTTAAAATTACCATTTTTCTTAAGATATTTATTATTTAAATCTGATTGGCTTATTATTTTATACTGATATTGATCAACAAATTATAGTAATATCCATATATAAAATTTTCGTAATATACCGATAACTTGATATATAATATTTTTTCTCAAAATAGCTGTATCATTATATAAAGGTTTAACTGTATTAATATTATATTTACATCAAATTAATATAATAAACTTAATAATCTTGATTTAATTATTATTAAAGCATAATAAAATTTTTGTTAAAAATATTAGTTGTATCTTTTTAATATTTAATTTTAAAAAAATAGTATATTTTATAAATATTGAAATTAGATTTCTTTAACCTAATACTAATGTTTTTATTACTTTTTTTATTATCTTTTTATTTTTATTTTTCTTAAAAACATATTTTTGTTTTTAATAAACTTATTTTATATGTTTAATATTTAATATATATTGAGCTTGTTAATAGAAAGGAAGAAAATCTAATAAAAAGTTTTATTTTATTAAAAAAAAATCATATTTAACATATAAAGTAAAAATTTAATTTATTTTTAGATTTTCTCTTCTACTGACAAGCTTCATATAATTAATTATTATGATACAGATCATTCATAAATAAAAATAAAATTATCTAACTTTAAAATCCTAAATTATTTTTTTATATGATATAAAAAAAAAATCTGTAATAATAATAGTATATACAATAAAAAGTAAAAGTTATAGTTTCAAATCTTTAGTTAATTAGAAAAATTTTGAGCCTTAAGTATTTGAAAATTGACAATTTTCTTATAAAATACTTAATTATATAAATGCAATTTATCATGTGATATTGATTTTATCCAATAAAATAAATGTATTTACATGAAAATTTGTAAGTGAAACAATATTATGATATCATGATTATTGCATTTATAAAAAAATCTAAAGTTATAAAGTAAAGTTATATATACTTTTATAATACTTTAATTGATATTTAATAATATGAGAGGTTTGCTAGAAAAATGGGAATCTGAGCATATTTTAATTTTTATTGCATTTTAATTTTTGATAATGTTAGATTAAAATGCAATAAAAATTAAAATTTTAATAAAAAATGCTCAGAACCCCTCCCATATGACAATTTTAATTCACGAGATGATTTTTAATTTGATAAATATCACGTGATATGTTTATGATCGGCAAAAAAAAATTCGCCTTTTAGATGACCGCACCATATATAAACTCCAACTCATTTTTGAGTTAGTTTATTTTCATATTTGGAAGTAATGTTGCTTCAACAAATTCATTCAGGAAAATCCAATGGACTTGTCCAAAGTTTTCATACCGCATACTGGGAAAATTCCCGTTACATTGTAAGCTAATTAGTTTTATCGGTTATAAGCAAACTTTACTTTTTAACTTAACCTTGCTTCAAAAGGTATATGGTACAGGTAATAAACTTGTAATCTATAATGGACTTTCCGAATTGATCCAAACAATCGATGCTTCCGAATTTTTGGAAGAATCACCGAATCAAGAGAAAATTTTCTCTACAGAGATTTCAGAATTTGATGGAAAGGTAAGTAAGAAAGATTATCTTGTATCAAATTATTTATTAATTTGAGTGTAAAGTCTGCCTGCCAATATTTTATTTTTGGATTATAGGTTCTAATTACTCTTGTGACAGACAATTTAATATTTTAAAACGATCGAATGTTGATTATTTAATTTGATGAATAGAGAATAGAATGAATATATCTTATCTTTTTTCATACAAATAATCCTATTCTTTGAGATTTATTAGATTGCATAATGAATGAGAAGATTTGTGGAAAGTTTATGATTAAATATGAAATAATACAAAAATTTGATAAAAAATTTTTTGTATTTTTTAATTAAATAGATTGCTATAACAATTGGAACAAACGTACTTATATTTAAGCCAAATCAAAATAAACATATGGTAATATTTCATTACACTATTATATATCTTTTGTCAAAGAAAACTAATGAAATTTTTTATATTTCAATATTGCCTATTTATTTTCAGAAAATGCAATGGTGTTTATTGAAAATACTGAAACATAATTATCCTACATTTTGCACTTCATGGAGTTTAATTAATGGTAAGGGGAGATCTTAGGAATTTATTAAATTAGTATGCGGATCAATTTTTAATATTTTGATAATTTATTTCTAAGGTCAACTTCTGGTGGGTGGAGGAGCCATTGTTCTTTGGGATCAAGATAAATCTAGCGAAGATAATCATAATAAATGGACCAAATTATGGGAACAAAGGTTCCTTTTTACTTACATTTGGATATTATATTTATAATCACCTCTTTATGATTTAACAAATCAAATAATTTTACAGAGTTGCATCTAAAATAATTCATGCTGAAATTTCTCCGGATTCTACATTAATTGCTACAGTTGGAGAGGTATTTTTCCTAATATCATTTTTATATTTTAAATGCTTATGATTTTTATTTTAAATTAAATACTTATAATGAATCTAATTATGCAAAGTATGATAGATTGGTTAAAATTTGGTGTTATCCTAAAAGTGATTACAAGGAGTGGAAATATAAATTTCATTATTTGCCACATCCAAGATCCGTGACAAACTTTTCATGGCGTAAAGGTCCAGTTGATCAGATAAAGTAAAAGAAAAAAATTTTTATGATTTGTTTGACCTTCTAGAAAAATTAACATTTTTAAAAATACTTAGTTCACAAGGCAGCAACATTCTTTTGACAGTATGCAAGGACGGGATATGTAGAATATGGGCTGCAACAAATCCCGATGAACCTTACAATCTTTATATATGCACAGTGGTTGATCCTGAGCAATCGTTGGTGACTTTTCCTTCTTCAGAAGAAGAAAGAATGTGTCACGGGAATCCTGATTGTTTCTCACCCATTCATTGGATACATCCAAGAGAATTTCTGATATCTCTTAAACTGGCTATAGATTCTTTTGATAGTGAAAAAGAACAAACCCAGATAGGTGCTGGGTTAAAAAAATTGAAAGATCTTGCAAATGATACACCGGATTTGTTATATCAGATTCAAAAAGATGGTTCTATGGTTATTTGGGGAATAAGAGTAACTATTCTGATATTTGAATTTTATTTATAAATTTAAAAAATATTTTGACACAATTTCTATTATAATTAGAATGTTTATTGTAGACCAAGACGAATTCCAAAAGTTCTTGTTTTACTTCGTGCGTCTCAGGCGCTTCCATCATCTGATTCCGATTATTTCCATGGGAGCACATTTGTATTTCATGATAATACAAGTTCTGATTTTAAGAGCAGTAATTATTCTGATTAACAATATTTCACGACTATACTCATTTACAAGACATAAAATATTAACTTTTATCGTGTTAATTGTAAAGCTTCAGTAGAACTTACAATATTAGCTCAGAGTCCGCAAGGTCGTATTAACAGATATTCAACTCGACTTGTTGAAGTATTTGATAATTTATCTCCATTGCAATTGAAATATTCATGGAGTGGTCATCATGATGATGTCAAAACTATTATCAAATCTCCTGGAACTGATTGTTTCGTTTCACTTACTAATAATGGAAAAGAAGCAATCTTGTGGGATGTTACGAAGCCTGATATATCGCAGGTATTTATTATGCTAGGAAATATGTTAATTAAAGATATAAATTTTAAAACATTTATTGCTATTTAGCTTGTTAAACAAATTGGCCCAAAAATTATTGAAAATGCTCCGGCTTATGTGGACTCACGAATCAAGCTTGCATGTGTGCTTTCTGACGGTACTTCACTACAACTTAATTCATCCCTTATTCTTTGTCAATATCTTTATTTATATATATATATTTTTTATTTAATTAGGAAAATTTTTGGCTGCATATGATGGAACGCGAATTGCTCTTTTAATGTGCGGTAGCAACTTTGACAATATTCATAAGATGATTGTTTTCGATGATTATGATGCTTCTTATGAATTGCTCTTGTTATTTGCATATAAACATAAGACGACTACAACATCTTTTCCTACTTATGTTGTTGGAGTAAGCTCAAAAAAAAATACAGTTTTTTGTTGGAAGTTTTCATATGGTGAAGTTTTAGCGAATTTTTTACTTTTTATATTTTTAAATTCATTAATAAATTTAAACCTTTTAATAGAACATGCAGGTCCAATAATTAATTTTGTTTCAAAGACTTATCTTCCTATTGATAGTCAGGTTAAAATGGCTATTTCTGTTGAACAGTGGGCGGGGTCTAATATAAGATGTTATCCATCAGAAAATTTGTCTCCTCCTATATTATTAACATACTCCGACGATGGTTATATCAGATATTGGCAAGCCAATATGAAATATAATAGCGACGATCCTAATAATGACAAAGTACTTTGGATGGAAGAAGTTATTTTTGATATTGGAACTAAAAATCCCGTGTTAATCAAATGTGGTCCACAAGGGAAAGCTGCAGTTGGTAAGAAATTGTCTTCATATATATTTTAGATTTCACATTTAAATTTTTATTTATTTTTTTTTTTATTTATAGTTGTTGAAAAAGAAAATGATTATGAAGTGACAATATGGGAATGTATAACTAAAAGATTACCTCCTGCTAAAGATTTTATAGAAGGATTTAGGTTCTATAATTTTGAAACAATTTCATTTTTTTTTTAAATATAAAAATTATATATTTATACCTATTTCCCGTTTTTGAATTTTCTCGCGTTATTTAGTGAAAAGATTGTTGATATAGATTGGCTTTTCACTTCTAATGCAGAGATTGTATTAGCTGTGTCAACGTCACAGAAAATTTGTATTTATACTCAGCTTCGCAAGCATCATGTTTCCGAGCGAGGCTCTTGGATAATGTTTTCAGAGATAGACAACCCTTGGTAATTTTATATATATTTATTTAATCAATTGTTATGTACTTATATGTTTATTTTTTTAGCAATGTTGCATTACCTATTTCGGCTATATCTTGGGGAAGTGCAGGTTCACTTATTGTAGCTAACTGTAATCAGCTTCGTTGTTATAATAAGTGGTTAACAGAAGAAAGTATGAAAAAAGGTAATTGAATTTTTTGTTGATTACGATCTTTTTTTAATATATCTAAAATTGAATTCTCCGATAGTTTCTAGTATAACTGGAATCAATCAAAAGTATACTACATTATTTCATGTTGTTGACCATTTGAATGGTCCTTTACCACATCATCACCCAACATTGCTTTTACAGCATATTCTTTGGGGTAAGTTAATACACTTCAGAAATTTAAATAATCAAATGTTTTATTAAGATGATTTTTGAATTTATACCGATAGGTAAAATGGATTTAGTTAAGCAAATTCTTGCTCATCTTTATAAATTCCTTAAAATATTAATTGGATCAAATAAACCTATTAAACGAATCCTTCCCTTACCATTTGATAAATTATTCCAAGCCCAAGATGAAACGGTTTGAAAATATAAATTTATTAAAATATATTTGATTATTCCTCCCTCATTTTGTTAACCCGATTTTCTTGTTATTCAAGCCAAAGGTATCAACAAAAACTCGTCGTTATAGTCTCCTTTTTGGAGAAGATAGTGATGAAGAAGGGTAGATAATTCAATTATACAAAATACATGTTTCCATAAATCACATTAATTAAATTATAATTTTCTATTCATTTTATCAGATCTCAAGAAACCTTACTCGAGTTTACAGAGGAAACGGCTAATTTCTTGAGTGAACAATTAAAGATTATTTCATTGCCTGATTTGTCACATGTCGAACAAGCACAATTGTTAGCTTTAATTGATACTATCAATCAGGTAATAAAAAATTCAAGTTTTATATTTGAAACTTTATTATAATTTCCATCTATTCTCAATAAATAGGTAGAACATCAAAAACGTAGTTTGGATGAAAATGGAGTTCGTTACGTGTTATTTATGCGACGTTATCATTATTTGAATCGTTATAAACTATCTTCCGGTATACGAACACCCGGTTTAAATTATCGAGATATGAACTGGGCATTGCATAGTGATTCTCAGGTAGAAAATTAATTACATATCTTTTGTTATAATCTCAATAGATTTATTTAATTGATGAAATTTTATTTGTAGGATCTTTTAATAGAATATAGTATCCAAGCATCTGGCGGGAAATTTTTATGGGAAGATGCAAGAATACACGGAATTTTTTTATGGCTTCGGAGTAATGAGTCAGTTGTAAGTTCATTTATTACATTAATTTTTTTGATTTAAGCTTTATTGAATTATGTTAATTATCATTCAATTGACTTTAGCGACAACAATTTGAAAATGTTGCTCGTAATCATTACATGTCAAAAGAAGAGAGAGATCCAACGGATTGTTCTCTTTTCTATATGGCATTACGAAAAAAGAAATTATTGTTAGGATTGTGGAGGACTGCTAATTCACACAAAGAACAAACTCTCATGTTGAAGTTCCTTGTAAATGATTTTACTGAACCCAGATGGAAAACAGCAGCTTTGAAGAATGCTTATGCTTTGTTAGGCAAACAACGTTATGGTATTTGATTTTAAGTGTATATATAAAAGAATACCTACAATGTGAATAATATTAAAATAACAATATATCAATTTGAAAGAATATGCGGCAGCCTTTTTTCTCCTTGGAGATCGGTTAAAAGACGCTGTTAATGTGTGTTTAAAACATCTAGATGATTTTCAATTAGCTATTGCCATATCCAGAGTTTATGAAGGTAATTTAACTTCATTTTTATTTTTTTTAAAAAAAAGGTAATATAACTTTGATATTATTTACAGGTGAAGAGGGGCTTGTTTTGAAGAGTATATATGAAGATCATGTCATTCCAATGGCAATAAGAACAGGAGATCGATGGTTGGCTAGTATGGCTTTTTGGTCATTGAATCAGAGAGATAAAGCTGTGAAAGCAATAATGGTACGAAATATTTAATTTTTTCTCTTTATGAGATATTCAATAATTAAGAATTACCTTAGACCATTATTGTTTTCTAGGTACCCTTGGAAACGCTGTGTGATCATAAAACAGAATCAACACCTTTAACCACCGATTCTCCTGATGCAGCTTTAATAGTTTTATATAAGCAGTTAAAGGATAAATCTATTCAAACACTAAGAGGTGCAGCAGAAATATCGTTTGAAAAAGAATATTTCTTTGTGTTAAGAAGTATCTTTGCTTATGATCGTATGGGATGTCCGCTGTTAGCACTTTATCTTGTACAGACATGGACCTTTTCACCGCAATCAGACCCAGAAAGGCCAGATCATATTTTAAAATCTAGACGTCGAACAACAATTTTTGATATACCATTAGCAGCGAGTGATGATGTGATCTCAAAAGGTGTTGTGAGTTTTGATACATGGAGTTGGGATGCACCAGTTTCACCAGTTTCACCGATATCTGTTAAACATTTAACGGATAAAGCTGAAGATATTTTTTCAGATGAACCAAGTCCTATAGCTAGTCCTATCACACCCAAAAGAATATCATTTACTGATACAACGTTTAAGGATTCATCAGGTGATGATAATGTTTGGGGATGGAATTCACCTAAACATTATCAAAAAGTAAACTCGTTTAAAGCAAAAAAGACTGATATCTTTGCTGAAAAGATTTATAAAAATGATATTGAAAAAGACTCGGAAAATATTACATTATTAGATGATATAGATTTTTATGATTATAAAGTTTCATTGGTTAAAAGATTATGCCAGGTTAGTAAGATTCACTTTGCGTGAAAAATGGAGCAAACTCTAGTTTTGTATTAAACCTTAATTTTCATATATTATAGCAATTATTGGATGCGGTGATGACTTCCCAAGAAGAACCAGAATTATTCGAACAAAATACCTATTATAATGATTATGTTAGCAGGGTCGAACAAGGATTGGCAACAATATGTGAAAATGTTAAAGTTCCAATGCCGGATATCAAAGAATTATTAATATCATATCCTTTATTTAAAGAAATCGTTTTTTGAAACTAATTTACATTTTATTCATCCTTAACCTTTTTTTATTTTTTACTAGATGTATTGAGACGGATTCATATGATCTTTTTAAATATTTTCAATCTCATGATTTATCGACAAGCAGTGATAATTAAATTAAGCTTTGGGTATAATATATTGGGCTGGGGTTAATTATTTATTATTGAATTTAATTTAGTAACTAGAATTAATTATTTACTAATTTGTATGTATTTATTAATAATGAATGAATAAATAAATAAATCTATTATAAAAAAAAAAGAACATATTTTTATCAATAAACAAAATATAAATTAGCTCGTGCTTTTGTGAAATCGGCGATTTTTTTTGGAGTTACAAATATCTGAGGTTTGATCTTTTCAAAGAGTTCTCCAGCTTCATTAAATATTTAATAAATTAAAAAAAAAAAAAATGAGTGGTAAAACTGATAGTTCAACGCCTCTAATTCCAATATATATATTTCGTGGACATAAAGATCAAATTAATCATTTGGAATTTTATCAAAATAATACTAGATTAATTTCTGGGTAAATGTTTTAACATATACATTTTCTTTATTTTAATTTAATTAATCGTATAATAAATGAAAATAATAGCGATGCTGGAGGAATTATTATAATATGGAATATGAAAACTATGCGTCCCACATTACAATTTAAAGCTCATAATGAAGGAATTTTGAAATGTTTGTTTTTAAATAATAAATTGATCAGGTAACCTTTTTCTAAATTAATTATATTTATAATTTTAATGCAATTAGATTGATCATTTCTTTTACTAAAGTCATGGTAGAGATAATTTATTAAAAGTATGGAAAATTGATCGGAATTCTTTAAATGATGATAAGAGGGTTATAACGGAAGAAAAGATTGTAGAAATAAAGGATGATGATGATGAGCCTAAACTTGAAAAGAGTCTATCAGTAAATTCATTGAATTTTTGTAAATTTGATTATTGTTTTAAAGGTAAAATTATAGATTTGAGCCTTGTAAGGTCTAGATACCTTTTTTTTTTTTTTTTTTTTTTTTTTTTAATTCAAGACTTTTTTATAAAGGAGAAAATGATCAAGATATCTTGATTGCTTTGCCAAGTTCAAAAGAATCTGCTGCAGTATGTGTGTTTTACTTCTAAGAGAAATTTAAATAGTTTTTGACGCTTTTGACGTGACTTTCTTTTAGATTGATGTGTGGAACCTTTCAAATCAAAAACGCATTCTAGGATTTGATGGAAAACGGGAGATTGGTATCGTTTCGATCCAGAATTATTATTATTTTTTTTTTTTAGGTTCTATAATAACTCATCTATTTCCTTGAAAATTTTATATAATTGAAGGGTACTGCATGGCTATCAAGCTTTTTCAGCATCCAACAAATAAATCTGAGTATCTAATTTTATCAGCATTTGAAAATGGAGGTGTAATTTTATGGTCTTTTTCTTCCAATAAATCCAAAGATGATGACGTTGATGAAGAATGGTTCTCTGAAAGATTATGGAGCGTAAAACAACATAAAGAAACAGGTTTAGTTTTATAAGATTATATTATTTCGATTATTCAACAATTCTTTAATTTTCTTTAAAAATAATTAGTGTTAGCATTGGATGTTTCGAAAAATCGAAAATTTGCAATCTCAACTGCGGGAGATAATAAGATTGTAAAATATAATTTCAATGAGGTAAAAAAAATTACACCTTTTTTTTAAAAAAACAAAATAATAATTATTATTTTGATTTTAGGACTTTGAAAAAGAGCCTTTAATTAATAGCATTACAATAAAATCTGTTGGAATCGCTGATATTAAAATACGAACCGATTCAAAAATTTTTGCTACAGCCGGATGGGATTCAAAGTATGTATATATTATATATTATTTCAATCAATCAACTCAAATTAATTATACTTAATTTGTTTAGGATACGCGTTTTTTCTTCAAAATCCATGAAACCTTTAGCTATATTGTCATATCATAAAGAAAGTGTTTACTCTTTAGCATTCGCTCATGTTTATTCACAAGAAGATAATGAAAATACTTCTATTGACAATGAAATTGATGAAAGAGTATTGAATCATTTCCTAGTAGGTGGTGGAAAGGATCGTAGAGTCAGTTTATGGGAAATTTATTAGCATACTTATTTTTCTATCATATTACCTAAATGCCTTAGAAATTCTAAAACATTATCCCGTGGGTAATGTAGTATCTTATATATCTTATATGTGACATTCATTTTTATAAAATTAAACTATATTATACAGCATAGCGGACATGCTTATATCACTATGTCGATCATTTTGCCGATCATATGCCGATCATAATTTTGAAGCTCCCTGAAAATTTCATAGGATTATAAGGTAAAATGAAACCCGTCCAATTCGCTTTAAACCAAAAGTTTTCTATATACTATTTACAGCCAATTTTTTTATAAATAAGCAGAAAATGATTTAGCAAAAGGTATTACAAAAAAAATTGCCTTTTTTTTAAAAAACACAATAAATCATTTTTTATAGAATATAATTAAAATAATGGATAATGTTTCTAATTCTTCAAGAATTTGTAACTTTAATATTAATGAATGTAAAGAAAAAATAAAATTAGTTACAAATAATATTAAAATACTAAAATTTAATGAAGTTATTATTTCAGTCGGAATGTATTTATATAAAATACATTAGAAGTAGGGTTCCGCAATTCGATTTGATATTTGAATATTTGATTTGATCAAATTCAAATCAAAGAATGATTTATTTGAT